CGCCCCGTCCCCCATCTTCCTCCCTCCAGACCCACCCGCCGCCCGCTCCTCCCAGACAGCCACCTCCCCCACCGCAGTGGCTCGCTTCCCACCTCCAGCCAGGAGAACCAGGGCTACCGCCAGCATCTCTGTGGCCATTGTCCTGCAGGGAAGGCGCCCATCAGTCAGGGTCTCTGCGGCGCAGACCCGCGCCCCTCCTCAGCACCCCCGCCCCGGCAGGCTCTGCTCCTCCGCTCCCCTGAGCGCGGCCTCCGCCCCGACCCCTTGCTGCACGGGGCTTGGTGCACACCGGCACCCTCTACACCCGGGGGGTTCTGGACACCTCTGGTCTCACCTGCTGGCGGTGCTGCCTGTTGGCCACAGCGTTCTGGGATGGGGTGAGGGAGAGCCCTGATCACAGGCGGTGGGAGCACAGATCGAGCAGCTCAGGCACCCCCAGGGGGAGCAGGGCAGAGGAGAGACGCCAAGCGGGAAGCTCCCTGGGCATCAGAGGGAGAGGGACAGGGAGGACGTCTGGCTGCAGGGCCAGGCCGCAGGGATGCCGCTCTTGCTGTGCGCTCTGGGCACTCCAGACAGCTTCCTTTTAACCCCCATCTCCCCAAGTCCTGGAGCCAGGAGTCCGGCTCCTCCCTTTTCCTCCTAACCCAGGCCACCCACTCACGTTTCCTTCTGCCCCAGTGACCCCGACCCTGCTGCAGCGAGGGAGCAGATTCCTGATGCCTGGGCCCAGACTGGGTCTGAGGGAGGAGGCCGGGCCTGGACCCGGGGATCCGAGAGAAGATAGGAACTCGTTCTCCTTAGTTGTAGGGTCCTAGGCTTTTGAAAAAGAAGCTGACTCTTCTGCTTCTCTTGCCTGTGATTGCTTGGAGCCCCTGGGCCTGGAAGCAGCCACCTCGGTTTAGTGGGGTTGGGGTGACTCACCTGCCTGTAAGTCCCGCTGTGGGTGCTTCTGACCTTCGTGTCCCGGGAAAAGTGCAAACAGCCAACGAGAAAGGGTGTGGCCCCGAGCTGGCCCCCGCCTCTGCCCCGGGCTGGGGAAAGGGCCCGGCACAATCGGGCTTTGTCAGCTGCCAGCCCAGTGCCAGGCTGCGGCGGTCCCACTTGTCACCGTCCTTTCCAGGCCGGGCAGGAGGCTGTGTTTCTCTCTGTCCCTGGCTGACTGAGAGGCTGTGGTCCCTGGACGGCCCTGACTGTCCCGGTCCCGCTCCTACCAGCCTGCCCACCCCTTGGGTCTCCGGGTCCGGCTTCCTGGCCGCAGTGGGGTGTCTCGGGGCGCACGCCTGTGTCTTCACCTCAAGCTCTTGTGTTTCTCTCTCCATCTTCTCCTCTGCGCCCCCCACCTCTGTCTCCGTCACACTCCTTTCCCTTTGATTCTCTGGCTCTGTCTGATTATCGTTCCCTGGGTCTGCTATCGATTTCCTGGGGAAGCTGGTAGGGTGGAAGCCTCGGGTAAAGGTTTAAATTTTAAAAATGTATTAACAGTAAAAGATGCACTGCTATGACTGTCCCTCAAGCGCTACCCATCACCTGCCCACTTTCTGGAGCAGTTCCGGAAGTCCTCTTCCTTGAGAGAATAATGCAGACAGAGACGCACTGCCACGGCGAAGACGCTCAGCAAAGAAGCCTCTCAGATCTGCTCCAGAAAGTGGCAAGAACCATGGGATCCGCGTGTTGGAAGCAAGGGGATGACTGTTTCGTGGGGAGCTCATGGTAATGTGTCTTCTACTGACATAGATTTTGTTTAAACGCGCGCTGCAGAGTTTGATGGTGCTGCGTTTCGTGTTGGAAGACTGCGGCTGGGGGCCCCCGGGGGGGGCAGGGGCC